ATGAGGCGGCCGGAGGCGCCGCATCGCTGCTTTGACTGTCGCCGCCACCGCAGCAAGCCCCGCTTGCTCGCCCTCGCTTGCTGCCGGTGCGCGGCGGTCCTTCGCTCGGCCCATCATCCTTTCGCCGCGTGCAGTCAGCCGGCGAGGTGTTGGGCGCACAGCAGTCTGACTGGCTGCAGCAGGAAGGTTGTTTCCCGGCTCCATCCCGCGGCGATGATCTGCCGACCGAGCCGCGCCCGCCCGACGCAGAGTCTCGACAGCAGGTGCAGTGGCCCGTGGTCGAGCACCGGCACGGATTCATGAGGTTGGACAGCGACAGCGAGTTGCTCGACCTCGGCGATCTCGAGGGCATCTCGAGCGGCCTGAAGGGAGCCTTGGCCGTCCAGTCAGCCTGCAGGTCCACCATCATGAGCGGGGGGATCGTCGACCAGTCTGCGGCGCCCGGCACCAGGCCGTCTGACGACGTTCGGGAAAGCGGCGGGAGCAGCGTGGGCGAAGAGTCAAAGGCGGCGTCGAGGATGCTGCCGCCCATGGAACCGTCGAGCGATGCGGATCGCTGGTCGATCCCAGAGATCCTTCGCAGCTCGGCCGACTCGCTGCCCTGCTCGGCGACCGACCCGGTCTTGCGCTTCTTGGACCGCGGTGGGGAGTGGGCCAGGGCGACAAAGGCGGTGCTGTTGGCGCTGTGGGGCGCGGGCCTGGCGGCGCAGTCGCAGCGGGTGTGTCGGCCGCTCTGCTTGCGCTTCTGGCGGCAAAAGTCGCACTGGGTGGGCGGCCGGCCTTTGGAGCGGATCGGGTAGAGGGGGCCCTTTGAGCCGTCCTTGTGGGTGCAGGAAGAGGTGCGGTGGCCGCGGATGCACGATGCGCAGGCCAGCTTGACGCCGGGCGGCGGTGGCACGGCGAGCGAGCCCAGATAGGGTGGCGGGAGGTCGGTGGTCGAGGTCATGGCGGCAAGGAGGACAAAATGTGTAGGTCGAGGGCAGAGATGGGGTATGGGGAGCCGCTGGCGATGACCGTCGATGGCGAGACGAAGGTCGCAAAGAGAAGAGTCGAGGAGGTCCTTTTGACGGGGTCGCTCCGGGGGACAAAGCCAGCGGCGGCGAGGCGTTTACGCTCGGCAAGTGGCTGTCGAGGCAGGAGCAACAATGTCCCCAGGGCCAGCGGCGAGGGTGAGGGCTTTCAGCGGCAGCGAGGGGCAAGGGGCAGAGGGTCGAGGGCGAAGAGGGCGGGTGCGCTGGGCCGGCGGTCTATGCGGTGGTGGGGGAGCTGCGTTGGAGGCGAGCGGCAGCGGCCATGGTCGACGTCAAGAGGGCCGGTGAGCGATCCGGGCGCAGGGCGAAGGGTTGATGATGAGGGACAGCAGGCGAGCGGGCGTGCGAGATGAAGGCTAGGAGGCAAGTCAGGGAGCGAGCAGCAACACGTACTGTACGCTCAGCCGCCGTCCCTCGGGGCCTTTGGGTGGCCCTCGGGAAAAGGCTCCGGCAGGCTCGAGACAGCGGCGGCAGCGGCGGTTAGGCTGGCTTCTTTGGCGTCGACTGCGCTCTGTGTGTCGGGTGGCCGTACGGCGTGCTTGCTTGCTTGCGGGTTCCACTTTGGATGCCGGAGCAATTGAGACAGGCCCGGCTGATGGAGCCACGGAGCCAGCTAGGTTGACTAGGGTCAGGGTTGGGTCCAGGGTGGCGGCGCCGGTGGAGAGAGAGAGACTCTAAGGAGGGCAAAGGGCGCCTACCTGGATTCGGATTCAGATTCAGATTGCGCGATTATTACGGCCGTGGGGGTCTGGCTCGAAGCCGAAGCCGAAGTCGAAGTCGGAGCACGCCACCTCCGTCCGCGGTTGGCCCCCCTCGCCCTCGGCCCCGACATTGCGGTCCAACCTGGCAGCGGCGAGCGCGGCCGTCGGATCCGCTCCCTCCACTCGCGTGCCAGGCGCTTCTCGCGGTGGCTTGGCTGCATCTCGACCCTTGTCCATCTTCTTCTTTGGTCCCCCATCGACCCCAACACCTCCTTCACATCCCCTCGCCCCCCTGCCACCGCCACCTGCCACCGCCACCTACCACCGCCACCGCCGCCACCGCCGCCAACACCGCACGCGCAGCACCAGCGACCTGGTCTGCGGCCACTTCTTGCGCCGCCGTCGCACGGACAAAGGCCAGCATCGACGCCGCGGTGCACACCGCCATCGCCTGCCCGACGACCTCTGCCTCCTCGGCAGGCAACTGGGCTGGCCCCTTTGATACCCCTCCTCAACCTCGTCTTCTCATCTCCTCACCCTATCGCACATCGCCCACCATGTCGCGTGACGCACGGGCACCCCGCATCAAGAACCGGGCGCCCGCCCCCATTCAGATCTCGGCAGAGCAGCTGCTGCGAGAGGCCCAGGAACGCCAAGAGGCGCCCCAGCATGTCGTCGAAAAGTCGCGCGTGGAGGACTACGAGGAGCTCGAAGAGTACCGCGGACGCAAGCGCAAGGAGTTTGAGGAGAGCGTAGGCCGCATGAGGAGCGACATGAACCGATGGATCAAGTACGCCACCTGGGAGGCCGGCCAGGGCGAAATGGACCGCTGCCGCAGCATCTACGAGCGCGCCATCGACGTCGACCCGCAGTCGGCGCCCCTCTGGATCCGGTACACCGAACAGGAGCTCAAGGTGCGCAACGTACAGCACGCCCGCAACCTCTACGACCGCGCCGTCACCATCCTGCCGCGCATCGACCAGCTGTGGTACAAGTACGTCCACCTCGAGGAGCTCCTCGGCAACATCGCGGGCACCCGCCAGGTGTTTGAGCGCTGGATGAGCTGGGAGCCCGACGAAAAGGCGTGGTCCGCCTACATCGCCATGGAGCTGCGCTACAACGAGGCCGAGCGCGCCAGCGCCATCTGGGAGCGCGCCGTCACCTGCCACCCGACGCCCCGGCAGTGGATCCGCTGGGCCAAGTTCGAAGAGGACCGCGGCGCGCTCGACAAGGCGCGCACCGTCTTCCAGATGGCGCTCGACTTTATCGGCGAGGACGAGACGGCCATGGAAAAGGCCCAGACCGTCTTCACCGCGTTTGCCAAGATGGAGACGCGCCAGAAGGAGTACGAGCGGGCCCGGGTGATCTACAAGTACGCCCTCGAACGGCTGCCGCGCGCCAAGAGCGAGGGCATCTACGCGTCCTACACGCGCTTCGAAAAGCAGTTTGGCACCACGACGAGCGTCGAGGACACGGTGATCGGCAAGCGCCGCATCCAGTACGAGGAGGAGCTCAGCGCCGACGGCGGCTCGCACGACTACGACACCTGGTTCGACTACACGCGCCTCGAGGAGGACGCCTACCGCGCGCTCGCCTCGGCCGGCGGCGCCGACGACCAGCTCCAAAAGGCGCGGGCGCGCGTCCGCGACCTCTACGAGCGCGCCATCGCCAACGTGCCCCCCTCGAACGACAAGCGCCACTGGCGCCGCTACATTTTCCTCTGGCTGCGCTACGCCCTCTTCGAGGAGATCGACGTGCGCGACTACGACCGCGCCCGCGAGGTCTTCAAGGCCGCCATCGCCGTCGTGCCGCACCGCAGCTTCACCTTTGCCAAGCTGTGGATCAACTACGCCCACTTTGAGGTGCGGCGGCTCGACTTGCCGGCGGCGCGCAAGATCATGGGCGCCGCCATCGGCATGGCGCCCAAGGAGCGCCTCTTCCGCGCCTACGTCGACCTCGAGCTGAGCCTCAAGGAGTTTGACCGCGCGCGCAAGATCTACGAGCGCGCCCTCGAGTGGGACGCCACCAACAGCCGCACCTGGGTCAAGTTTGCCGAGCTCGAGCGCAACCTTTTCGACACGGACCGTGCGCGCGCCCTCTACGAGCTCGGCGTGCGCCAGGCCGACGAGGCGGGCAGCGGCGGCCTCGACATGCCCGAGGTGCTCTGGAAGGCCTATATCGATTTCGAGTTCGAGGAGCGCGAGTGGGAGCGCGTCGATGCGCTCTACGAGCGCCTGCTCGAGCGCAGCGCCCACGTCAAGGTGTGGATCAGCTACGCGCTCAGCAAGATCGGGCAGGCCGTCGCCGAAGAAGAGGACGAGGACGAGGGTGACGATGAAGACGGCGAGGGAGAGGGCGGCGATGGCGAGGAGACCGAGAAGCCGCCGAGGGTGCTGACCGACGAGCAGATCGAGGAGCGGCAACGGCGGCGGCAAGAGGCCAAGCAGCAGACGAGAAAGGTGTTTGAACGGGCCTACCAGGATCTCAAGGGCAAGGGGCTCAAGGAAGAGGTGAGTCGAGATGGCGGCGGCGGCGGCGGGTATGCCTGCAGGCGGCGCAGTCGAACTGACACCCTACGCCCCATTGGTCCTCCCTGCATCCGTCTCCTCTCTCTCTCTCTCTCTCTCTCTCTCTCTCTCTCTCTCTCTCTCTCTCTCTCTCTCTCGTCTCTCTCTCTCGTCTCTCTCTCTCTCTCGTCGTCGTCCGTCGTCGTC